GTCGAGGCTCCTTCGTGCCTCGTCGCCGCGTCCTTCGTGTTTCTCGCGCTTAGGATTCGAAGATCGTGTCGGGGAGGGGGGAGGGGAGGGAGCTCCTCTCGCGTCCAGAGATCATGCGAGATCATCCGTCCGATGCTGAGATCGAGAATCCGGTATCATCCGCGAGATATTTGTCGGGCGTCACGCGCGAGTAAGTCGATAATATCGTCCGACACGCCGGCCTGATTTTTCATTCGCGGCTCGCGTTTCGCGCGATATCGCGTTACGCCGCCTTTTTCTCACTCGCCCCGATCAATTGTGTTCCGCGAGAGAGAGGCGAGGAAAAAAATAAACGTTTCGGAGATAGGAAGTCGCATTTCTTGGATACTTTGAAGAAGGTGTTTTTATCGATTCTTTGACGGTAAGTAATTTCTTAACGATAACGATTTATCGTTGCAAACTTGTTGGAATTTTCTGCGATACGATATTTTTCGCGATTCGAGATAGCGGAGAATTATCGCTATTTTTCTTTTTTTTTTTTTTTCTTTTTATTTTAATTCAAGAAAACTAGGCAGAGTTTTCGAGGAGGTTAGAATCATCAGAGGAGGACGTCATTGTAAGGTGGGATATATGAGATTTTGATATATCCCGTTGAGATAACGAGAATCAACGTGTCGTTAGTATCACTCGAGATCCATATTTAAATTGAAACCCGTGGAACTACGTGGATGATTTTTCGGTTTAATGAAATTGGATCCCGTATATTAAATACTGCCACTTGGAAAATGTATGTCGTTCGTTTCCACGCGTTTTAAACGCGTTCGCGATTTATCGACGGTCTCGGAGGAAAGGAACGATTCACGCCTCGGGAGAACTCGTTCCTCCCGTCTCCTCGAGAATCACTCGTTGAGAAGACAGCTTCGAGCAGACGCGGCGCAATTCGCGGACAAGGAACTTATTCATATTTCTCGGTCGATTTTTCCGCGTCGCCCTTGAAGCGGAGTTAACCATTGGCCGCTTTATCCGTTCCCCCCCCTCTCTCGTCTAATGACGAGCATGACTTTGACTGAAGTCACGCTACCTGGGCGAATTCGTTACATCACACGCGGTGCACGCGGAGAAGAGAAATCGTTGCACGGTCGGGGACGCGAAGGAAGGAGGGGCGGAGGGGAGGTGGGTGGAACGTCAGCTGTGCGAGAGGAGAGAGGAGAGCCGGCGGGGCAAAGGCGAAAGACGTCGAATGAATTGAGTGGAATCGAGGGAACGCACAATAGGAGGTAGTCTGTCACCGTGCATCGTGCCGCGTCGTGCTTGCATCCTTCTCGGTCGGCTTCCCGCCAGAATAAAAGCTCCTCGAGCGCCCAAGAACTTGATGTCGATTCGTTACGAGATTCCCGTAGGGACAACATGCCGGACAACGTGGTCGCGGTCAGGATCGTCTACGCACCCAAATATTCCAAGGTTCTTCATTTTCGAGAGAAAAAGCTTGGAAATTAATTATCGAGACGAGAGATGATCGGTAAAATTGTTGGTTCGTTGGAATTGTTAACGAATCTTGGGTGGATAAGTGTGATTATGAATTACTCCCTCGAATTATACGTACGATAGGCCTTCTTTCTTTAGAAAAGGAAGGGAACGAGGGAAGAGAAAAAAGTCATAGGAAAAAGTAATTTACCAAATTGTTGTCAGAAATTAATCTTAGAATAAAAACGTTATCCTTGAAAAGAAACTCGAAGCCGATGAATGCAGTTTACGGCAAGTTCCTTGTAAAAGGAGAATCTTGTAAAACTAGGTTGCGTATACTCTAAAATAATTTGTTTTCCCTCCGTTGAAGTAGCTGGTGAACTATTTTCTCGAATCTTTCCTTCCCCAGAATGTTATTGTACAAGAAGAATTTCGTACAATTTGCGGAACCGTATATACACTCGAAACTGCCTTTAAAATAATTTATTTCCAAGTAGCAAGAAAGAAAGGAGAAGCAACGAAGTAAGAGCGCTTCCGGGAGAACCTTTCTCAGGAGAATTTTGACGAAATCGTTGTTAAATTAGACTCTCTCTCTCTCTCTCTGTTTCTATATGTATATACATCTTGAGAAGGTAGACTGGAAAATCCCAGAGGAATTAATTAAGAAAACTCGTACGCGTTTCAGATTCAGACGTCCTCGTCGACAACGACACCCGCGAGGACGCCAGGCGTCGGGGCGGACGCGACGACGACAGGATCCGGGAAAGGCGGTGGCCGTGTGACGGAAGTGATGGAGCTTTGTTACGTCACCGAAAGAATCATCGCGCTCTGGTACAGGGAGGATGCGCAGGGAGTCCTCGAACACGCTACCGCCCTTCTGCGTGGAAAGCACGCTGATAATTATATGGTGAGTAAATGGCGGCGAGATTAATGGGCCGATATAACGTTTTCTTTTTTTACCAAATAATAACAATACCTATTAAACGGAGGAAACCAGCTTAGGATAATGTTGTCGATGCTACACCATCTGCTACATCCACTAACGCGCTCTAATTGGCGATATTATTAATTAATAAGCTATCCTCGCTATCCTTGAATATCTTAATAATAACAGAGGTAAGTGACGCTCGATCGATTCCAGGTAAAAAGGAATCGACGAGTCTCGACGATACATTTTGAGGAGATTACAAGAATTTTTTCGTCGTTATCTTTCGAATATCTTTATCTCAGCCTCTTATATAGAGGACTCTTATCCCTCCTCCTCCTCCTCCTCCTCCAAGCCTGTTAAATTTCACGATATCATCCTATAAACAGGAGTCACCGATCATTACCGTATCGTCGGTGATATCGACTAATCGTGAAATATCGATTCAATTGGAAAAAATTTTCCAATTTTTCATTTTGGAAAATTTGAATAGAATTTTGAATTGATAATCTCACCTCTCTGATTTTCCAGATATTCAATCTTTCGTCGCCGGGTCGTGCAGGGGAGCCAAACACGAGGGAAGCGGGATGGCCTCAGGGTCTGGCGCCCAGTTTGGAAAGATTGTGCGCCCTGTGCAAGGAGCTGGACTCCTGGCTGAACGGGGCTCCGAATCGCGTGGTCGTCCTCCACGCCAGGTGAGTCCTCTCTCTTGGTCATTTCTTTGGCCGAACGGACGGACTGGAGGAGGAGGAGGAGGAGGAGTAGGAGGAGGAGGAGGAGGGAGAAAGTCCGTCGTCGTAAAGGAAGGCGAAGAAAAGCTCATTCCGCGCATCTGTTCAGGGGAAGCAAAGAACGATTGGGTGTGGCAGTGTCCGCTTACATGAACTACAGCAGCATCTGCGGCGGACGTGATCAGGCGTTGGACAGGTTTGCTATGAGGAGATTCCTCGACGACAAGATTGGATCCCTGCAGGTTCCCTCGCATCGAAGGTAATCACCGCGGTGCATGACGTTACTTGCCTGTGTTGACGTTGCCACGATAAAGCAAACTTTATCGCCTCTTAGTCGCGAATAACTGAGATAATGCTCGGTCGAGGCGGCATCGACGGGCGTGGCCGCGTCCACCTTGCGAATAGTTGATCGCGTTAAGTCCCTTATTTCGAAGGGAAGCGTTACCTCGAATCCTCTCCTCTTACGTAAAATTATTATGTCACGATTAATGGATGCGCGCCATGCAACAGAGTCAATTGTTCTTGGTAATCGTGAGAATAGGATTTTTCTTTTTTTTTTTCTTTTTTTTTTTTTTTTTTTTTTTTTTTTTTTTTTTAAAAATAGCGTTGAATAACGTGAGAGATTTCGGTTAATTGATTATTGTGAGAGGAGAATAACGTTTTGATAACGGAGTAATTCGGTTTGTTATCATTTTGAAGCGATCTTTTATTATCGGGCAATTAATAAATTGTAGAGAGACGCGTGAAAATATTTTTTTACACGACTGCGTTTAACTCGTATTTTGCCCGATTCTAATGCGTATTTGATGACTCCGTAAAAAGTGGAAGTTAAAAGCTTTCTATATCATAGCGTCAATAAAACGGCCGTAAAAGTCCCGTAAATTCTATGATAAAATACTCAAGGCCGATATAATTCTCGAATGTAGTCACACTTGTACCAGCTAACAGATATATCTGGCTCATCCTTTTAATCCATTGATCGAATAGATACGAGATTTGTTTCGTAAGGTGTTACCAGATTTCTCTCTACTTTAACGATTCTAAAACTTTCACGAATTGAATTTAGTCCCGCGCGTTAATGGTCGACGAAATTTTTTTTAAATTCAATTAATTTTCAGAAAAATAATTTCAAAAATTATCGCACGCGATCCCCGGATGAATATTACACGAAAGCTGAAAAAGTGGTAGAAGGTGACATCTAGCGAAAATCTACTGAATTTTACGAAAACTCCAATAACTCTAGTAACGAATCTAAAACTGCACGGAAATATAACTCACTTCAGAGGCTAAATGACCTCGTTTCCTTCTATTTTACATATATATAAAATAAAAGAAAAAATATATATATTCCCTTACTTTCAATCCCTCGTCCTTTAATCCCAAAATTCGAGCTTCAATTGCAACAATGATCATCTTATCGAAATTCCACTCTCACGGATATTTCTTTTAAATATTCTCACGTACGATATAATAATTCCTTCCTTGACAGAGGATCACTATCATCCATCTAAGATGAGGTAGGATACTCGATAAATAAGGCGATCGTCCGCGTCGCCAGAAGCGGTTCAACGCGTATCGGAAGCGACGATTAAAAAATGGAGTCGAAATAACCGAATAAACACGATCCCCCGTAGGTAAACCTGTCAACCTCGCGCCATCCGTTCCCCGATCGAGCGCGCATTTACCGCGTCTCTTTAAGTTTTCGTCGTTCGACGTTCACACGGGTGATGTAATGATCGTAATGATCGAAGCCGAGGGGATGTCCTTATACGCGGAAGGTTACACACGGCGGAGCCCGTCGTCTTCCTCGTTCCATCGTCCGCGATCTCACATCCCCCGAACGATCGAGTTTCCCCATTAATTCCACGAGCGGCGAGCATTAGCATGTCGTTAGCCGTACTCCCCGCGAACGTATGAATCCATTATCGAGAGCCCAGGCTCTAGATGCAACCTCATCGTGCAACGCGTGTAACGCGCAGCACCTTGGGTTGCCACCAAGAAGCGAGCAGGTATTTTTTTTCTCCCCCCTCTCCCTCTCTCCTGTTCGCCAGAGGGGATCGAGGAGATCGTATCTGCTTCGTTACGAGCGACACGCGGGGATATTCGTGAGAGATCGACGCGAAATTACGGTCATGAGCGCTCACGAAGCCTGCATAATCGACAGGTATCCTTGGGACGACGGTTCTCTCCGATTTCTGATCTTCTCGTCTGATCTTCCGCGTTTGCCGCGCGTGTGTATCCGGGCAACCGTGTGTCAGATTAATCGAGCGTAAATCGTGAATCGTCGCTGTGATCGTCGAGAATGGAATTTTCGAAGGAAGGAATTTTCGTTTCGTTCGGTGCGTTGAACAGGAGGTTGCGCCGTTTTGGTATAGGGATCGGTAAAAGGGCAAAAGTAAAGAAGTGAGAAGCTAGAAAAGTCCGTTCGTGGCGAGCGAGTGTCACAGTTATTAGGGAACGTTAAAATAGTTTGGCACGATGCGTTTACGAAAGGGAGGCCAAATACGGCGAAACATTCGCGCGAGGTAGACATTCGTGGTTGGACACGAATTATTACAGGAACGTTCGCGATTCGCATACGTTTTTTTTCGCTTCCTCGAGCGTTTCGTGATGGAAACGAGTCTTGAGTGATCATCCCGGTTGGTTTACCGATGGGATTGGATTAGGGGAGGGGAAGAAAAAAAAAAAAAGAAAAAGAAAAAAATAGAATTACCTTGACCTAAGCGTAAATAACGTGGTACTCGGAAAGCGGTATTTAGGTGCTAATTGCTGTATCGTGTCGTGTGTCGTAATGTTTCTATTATGAAATTTTAGAACACGCTATATCACGTCTTTATATATTTTTTTGTTTTTAACGACTGGTTGTGTTAATATTGGAGTTAAAATTTGGATTTCTTTTTTTACAATTATCGAAAACATGCCTTTACTATCGATAAATTTGACTAATTTTATCTTTGGAATAGTATTTTAATTAAAATTTTACTTCAAAATTCGATAAAAACCCTATCGAAATTAGGAAAACTTTAAACCGCTTTAACTCCGAAGATATTAATTCCCGGTCAATGGGTGAAAGATAGTTAGAAGCGCGAAACTTTACCCTTTAAAACGGTTTTTCATTTATCCCGATACGACTTCCGGTTTCCGAGATATCGTCGAGTAAAGAAGAGGTAATTTTTAATATTTAGTTTAAATCCGATCGAATCCTATTAAAATTAGGAAAAATTTGAAGCGCTATAACTCCGAAGATAATGACTTCCGGTCAACGAGTAAAAAATCGTTAGAAGCGCTGAACCTTCCCCTTCAAAATGCTCTTTCATTTATCCCGATACGACTTCCGGTTCCCGAGATATCGTCGTGTAAAGAAAAAGCTAATTTTTAATCGTTTATTATCCCCATCCTTGTTTCGTATTCGGAATCCTCGCTCGCACCTCGTCTCACTGACCTATCCCAAACTCCAGACAAGCGACAGTCGCGATTCCTGGAAAAACGTAGTACGCGTTTCCAGGAAAAAAATGTAGGTCACTAAGTCGCGGACCCATTCATAATTTTCGCGCTATGTTAAACCGCGTACGGAAACTTCGAGTCCTTGTATCTCGGCGACCGTTCGAGATATCGAGATAAAACAAAAAGGGATTTCAACGGGACGCTTTCCTCTATTTCTTACGTGGATTTAGATCACGAAAATTTAATTTTTTCCCCACATTTTTTTTACACGAAAAGTCGAAGTTCCACTTGTGATTTTACGCGAATGCAATGCGATTTTGGTATTTACGTATTTACGTTTCATCATATGTTTCGCGTCTGTGTGAACGAATACTTTTAAAAATTGTTGCCTTTTCCTCAGGTACATCAAATATTTCAGCGGACTTTTATCAGGCTCCTTAAGGATCAGTCAATCTCCCCTCTATTTAACGCATCTCACCGTCCTGGGCGTTCCACTCTTCGAGCCTACGGGTTGTCGCGCATTCCTCAAGGTCTACGAAGGTCTGAATCCCGTCTACACCTCGGATCTCTACTCCGTGACGAATGCTCGCGAGTTCACCGTGAATCTCGGGGGTCTTCGTCTGAGGGGAGACATTCTGGTGAAATGTTACCATAGAGTGTACTCGAAGCAGAGCCGGGAAGTAATGTTTTCCCTGCAGGTAAGACCAACTGAACTACCAACCAAACTTTCCCAATTATCTATCTAATAATCATACTTCGTTCACGCTATATATTCTAATATTCATTTCTAATTTTTCTTTCCCCTAATTGATACACGATACGATTCCTTCCACGTCCTTTTTTCTCAACCCAATCTCGACGAGAAATCATTTCTCATAAATTACCTCTCCAATTCTCGTCGATTCGCGTGGACACTCGAGAAATAAATTAAATTAGCGCAATTAGATCGTTAAATCGTAACTCGTATCACGTAAGAAGCATTAAGAAGCGGGTTGTTTCATGTTGTTTCCGCAGTTCCACACCTGCGTGATTACGGAGAACGTGGTTTCCTTCCCTCGATCGGAGCTCGACGTCGCCTGCGACGATCCAAGGTGTCCACCTGACAGCGTGGTCACACTGTACTTCGCCACCGACGCCAAACGCCAGGACGGGCCTGTACCAGCGCCGACGCCTGCTGTTCCCCACGCCTCGGCCCACCACGACCCCATCCTCCACTGGGACAGCTACACGAATCTCGAAATGAGCGACGACGGTGAGCTATCATCCCACCCCGTGTTAGCTGGTCTTGTTATTCCACGCTTGTGCCAAGGGTGGTGATTGGTGCTAGGTTACGACGAAGGAATTTCAAGAAGTCGCTTGGTTGATTAACGACGAGAGTAGAGAGACGGGAGATGGAACGAGGCGCTCGATTAGGTTAGATTAGAGTAGATTACAACGCGGCCATACCAATTTGGCGCAATTGCTCGTGCGTTAGATCGGCTTACTGCGGGGAGGTCACTTCACGAGGTTGAGGAGAATTGGAAGAGGGTGTCGAAAATGAAGAGGAAAATTGTAGGTTAGATGGTAATCTACGTGTGTTGTGTAATGGACGCATTGTATTGGAATTTTCCTATTTTAGTTTATCTTTTCCTTATTTCTCTAAGATATTTCTTGTTGTTATTCGTGTATTTTCGAGTGTTTCGAGTAACTAGGGTATTATTACATCATATTAGATCGGGGATATAATATAAGAAATTTTAGTTTTTATAATTGTTTCAAAATACTAGATAGGATATTTTAATTTGTTCCTTCTGTTCAAAAGCGTGTACAATCATGTTTAGAATCACGATTCCAACGATTTTATCGGGAGAAGTTTGGATTTGGAAAGGATCGGTGAGACGATCACGACTCGTCGTGCGATTGATTAAATCGATAAGACAAAAAGTCGGTCGATTCAAGCGATGGAAACTCATCGGGACTAATTCGCGTTAATTTTCGTCCTGATGGTAGCCAATTAACCTCGATCCGTCGGCGAGAAGCAGTCAGAAATACAACTTGGCTCGGAGGGAGGAGAAAGAAAGGGTTACAGGTAGGAAAGAAGTGGACAGAGACGAAAACCTAGCGGTTAATGCGATGTATTTAAACTGGGTGACTAACGTCGCCGGAAATACGTCCTGTCAGACAGAGGTAAAATGGCGGTTTATCGCCGCGACAAACGCGTTTTCGTCCGGAAATAGATCAAAGGTCGACTCGCCTAACGACTGGGCAAGGTCCACGATGGAGCTCGAATAATAAGTTCGATTTCTTTTCGAGCTCACTGTTTTTTTTTTTCGCAAAGCCAAGATGAAAGTTCTCACGAACCAATCTTCGCAATTATCTTCCGTGCCACATCTCGTTCGATCGCTTGATTCAATTAAATCTCCTCCTCTCCGAGGTATCAAAACATTTTTCAGCCGATCTCGAGTTTCGAAAAAATTCAACGTACACGTAAGAGTTTGAACATTTTTCGAAGATTTCGAGAAAGGTTTTTGAAAATTCGAAACGAGTCTTTCGAAAAAAGAAGACAAAGGATCGACAAGATTGGAAATATCGAATCATCTATATTTCTTTGATATCCTTTATCCGTCCCATCGATGGAAGGGCAAATAGAGTGCATAGAGGGATGATGGATTTCTCGTGGACGCGTGCCGCGTAACGGGAACGAATCCCCCGATTTCCCCCAAATTCCGACCTACGTTAAACGAAACGAAGCGAATCGTCGCCCACGCTACTCCTACCCCGGTTCACCGAACCGTTTCGAATATTTAGGACGGTTACATCACACCGTGACGCGTCCGTCGAGCGCCGGGGAAAAGAAACGGGACGAGATGAAACGAGAGACGAGTCCGATTCAATTCGTTTCGTTAACGATCGGCCCATGCCTCCGATAAAGCTGTGACCTAAATTGTTGGTTACATCGATGTGGCTCTCGAGGTTTACGAGGTTCGAAAACGATACC